GAGGTCAGGTGGCTCACTAGTTAGTGGAGGTCAGGCGGGTCACTAGTTAGTGGAGGTCGACGGGTCACTAATTAGTGGAGGTCAGGCGGGTCATTAATTAGTGGAGGTCAGGCGGGTCACTAGTTAGTGGAGGTCGACGGGTCACTAATTAGTGGAGGTCAGGCGGGTCATTAATTAGTGGAGGTCAGGCGGGTCACTAGTTAGTGGAGGTCAGCGGGTCACTAGTAAGTGGAGGTCAGCGGGTCACTAGTTAGTGGTGGTCAGCGGGTCACTAGTTAGTGGAGATCAGTGGGTCACTAGTTAGTGGAGGTCAGGCGGGTCATTAATTAGTGGAGGTCAGCGGGTCACTAGTTAGTGGAGGTCAGCGGGTCATTAATTAGTATTAATCACTCACCCGGTATGACGCGCAGGTCGGCGTCTGTGCCGGTGCGGGAGCTGCTGGGGTTCTCCGTCAGACAGCGGTATGTGGCCGAGTCCGGCGGCTGGATTCTGCTGACCTGCAGAGATCCGGAGGGCAGGATGACCACTCTGCTGTCGGGGTCAAAAGTCAAGGGCAGGTCCTCCCTGTTCTTCTGCCAGCGCACCACGGGCATGGGCTCGCCCGTCACCTCGCAGCGCAGCAGAGCCGTGTCGCCCAGATGAGCCGAGACCGACTCAGTGGGGACGACCACGCGTAGAGGACCTGAGGGAGAACCACACCAGAGAGAGAGAGAGAGAGAGAGTTAAATGCATTGAGATGCCATGCGCTTACATTTGAATGCAGAAGATGCACAGGAGATTTATTCATTTATTTATTGTTTAACAGAGACATTACAGAACAGAAGAGTATTGAGCAGCTGATGCTTCTCTCTCAGAGCTCATCTGCAGCACTTGTTCCTGATTAGGCTTTTACTAAAAACCTAGGAAATACAACAACTGACAAACAATCTAAAATTTAAAAAAGGTAGAGAGTGAGAGAGAAAAAAATATAAAAATGAATGAATGAATAAAATTTAAATTAATTAAGAAATTAATTAATAAATAATAATGAATTGTCAGAACAACCATTGTCAAAGAATGTAAAATTTAAAATACAGAGAGAAAAACAATGAATAAAAAAAATAATAAATGAATGAATGGAAGAATAAATAAATAATACAATTATTGAGGTTTCTGATAGCGCATGAAGGCAGCATCAGAATGCAATGAAGTTCATGAATATTGTTATGTTGATGTGATTATGCTGATAATTAGACTCATATGTCTGTGTAACATGTACGGTGGCTCATTCGCTCATGCTAACAGTGTGTGTGTGAGAGAGAGTGTGTGTGTGTGAGTGAGTGAGTGAGTGAGTGAGTGAGTGAGTGAGTGTGTGTGTGTGTGTGTGTGTGTGTGTGAGTGTGTGAGTGAGTGAGTGAGTGAGTGTGTGTGTGTGTGAGTGTGTGTGTGAGTGAGTGAGTGAGTGTGTGTGTGTGTGTGTGTGTGTGTGTGTGTGAGTGAGTGAGTGAGTGAGTGAGTGAGTGTGTGCGAGTGTGTGTGCGAGTGAGTGAGTGAGTGTGTGTGAGTGAGTGTGTGTGTGTGTCTGCGAGTGAGTGAGTGTGTGTGTGTGTCTGCGAGTGAGTGAGTGAGTGTGTGTGTGTGTGTGTGAGTGAGTGAGTGTGTGTGTGTGTGTGTGTGTGTGTGAGTGAGTGAGTGAGTGAGTGTGTGAGTGTGTGTGCGAGTGAGTGAGTATGTGTGTGTGTGTGTGTGTGTGTGCGAGTGACAGCAGCGCACTAGAAGCCACAGACCAAACACACACACACACACACACACACACACACAGCTGTATGTAACCTCTGATTACTGCCACAGAACATCAGTGACGTCAAACCTGGAAACAAGAAACAGACTGAGGCCGATATACAGTATATGATCATCACTTACAGAAACACTGCAATCATCAGATCACAAAACCAGCAGATCAGCATATTACACTGATTTCTGAAGATCATGTGACACTGAAGACTGGAGGAATGATGCTGAAAATACAGCTGCGCATCACAGAAATACATTACAGTTTAACAGAGATTCACATAGAAAACTATTGTAAAATATTTTACAATTTTTACTGTATTTTTGATCAAATAAATGCAGCCTTAGTGAGCAGAAAAGCCTTTTTAAAAAATTTTCCAGCATCTGAACCCACTTTGACCTACAGCAACACACACACACACACGTTATGAATGTGCTGAATGCGAGCATTTCCTCTGCTGATGAGAGACAAACTGCGGCCTGTGATTACAGAGCTTCATTATCTGCTCTCATTAAGAGGGTGTTCATATGCAAATGAGTGGGGAGAGCGTTTAAATCTAATTAACACAGAGATAAAAATGAGGAGGAATAATTCTGCTTCTGCATTCCCAAAATAGAGCGAGAGAATAGGATGATGATGCCACGGGAGAACGAGAGAGAGAGAGAGAGAGCGAGAGAGAGAGAGAGCGAGAGAGAGAGAGAGAGAGAGAGAGAGGAACGAGTGAGGAAACTCAATTGACTCCTACAATCTTCCCTCATGTTGAAGGTGATGTAAATCATTTCAGGTGTTTTACTAGCTTCAGCTTTTCTTCAAAACTCACATCAGTAAACTCTGAAAAACAGTTCTGAAAAAATTAAAATGCAACCAAATCTGTATCTACAGGATGACGGACAGTCAGAGACAGTCTCTGATTGGCTACACAAGCACTGGCCACTCCCCCTGACACTCCAGTGCTGGTCAGATCAATATTCAATATTCTAAAATAAAAATAAATAAATAAATAAAAATATAAAAAGTAAAATATAATAATAATGTGATAATGTAAAAAAAAACTTAAAAGAATAAAATAAAAAAGGTTAAAAAAAATATAAAAAGTTAATTAAAATAAATAAATAAAATGAAATAAAGTAAAAAAGAAATGAAAAGTAAAATAAAATAAAAATGTAATAATTTAATAATAATAATAAAAAAAACATTCATAAAATAAAAACTAAACCAAAACAATAATATATAAAATAAAATAAAATAAATTAAATAAAAGCTAAATGAAACTAACTGAAAATTAATGCATTACATTAAATTATTAAATGAGTGTTCTTTTCCTCCAGTGTTTCTTGCTGAAGCTGATAGAGGAAGAGGATGGATGATGAAGGCTAAGATCTACACTCATAACGTCCACCTGCACATTTGATTAATTTGTCATGAATCAGAGCGATGGAGAGTTTGATTCTCTGACGTTCCCGGACTCGTGTTCAGCAGCACATCTAACACACATCATTAAAGCGTCGCTGAACACGAGCGCTGCAAATGTCACAGACCCTGAGTCACCGTTCACTTCCATCACAGACGTTCAGAGCTTCTTTACAGCTGTTTGCATCCCTTCATTTGTGTCTGCTTTCATTACAGCGACTCCATGTCAGAATAACCTTCAGAAAAAGCCCTATTCAATATGCTGAAACATTTGCAGGCAGTCTGCCAAAATGACAGCTTGTGGAATGTTCTACTCTGTGATGTAATAGTGTGGATAAGCTCCACCTCCGCAGAAGATGATTAACGCCTGCTTCAACATCGCTGCCTCTTTAGCCCCGCCCACCGATTCTACAGCACTGCCTGTTTAGCTCCGCCCACCAATTCTACAGCACAGCCTGTAATCAAAAAGATTGAAACTAAAAGACGATGCTGTGCGACTATATTGGATCTGACAGTAATGTCACAACACACACGTGTGAGTAACTGTTTTCATTACATGATCACTATTGCTTTGTCTCTTCTCACACATCGTTTGATATGTACCGAGTTATTTGAGGGTTTTTAACCGAAATCACAGCAGTGTCCATCTGTGAGGAATTAACGCTGTCAATCACACACAACTATTAGCCAATCACAGCAGTGGGCGTTTACTTTATTATTTATTTCATTTATTACTTAATAAATGAATAAAAAGAAAATAATTACAAGCCAATTATCATCAGGAAGGTCACGGTGGCACAAAGTCAAACAAACGACACTCTTTGTATGGCTGTTTAACAGTGACTTCTGTCTCCTTTGTGCCAGTATGTTATTGAGTCGACACAAAGGCCAGGACCCTCGCAGACTAATTAAGCTCTTCTTCTTAAGCATGCAGTCTAATGACCCACAATGCTTTGCAGCAGAACAGCGGCCGCTCACCTGCGTCTCTCTGCTGATCACCGAGCGTTTCTGCGGTCACTGCTCTGCTAATTAGACACACGGCGGCTCGTAATCCGTCAGTGGTGTTCGTTACGCTGGGCCTCATTAGCAGAGCTGAGGGACGCTGCTGTATGCAAACCAATTCAACAGGAAGTCAAAGACGGATTCAGTCCATTCACACACACATATATATATGTGTGTGTGAGTGTGTGTGTATGCAATTTTAGCTAGTTGCAAAAGCAAAATTTCGCATCTCATCTTTCTTTGTTTAGTTTAACTTGATCTACAAAAACTGAAATAACTAAAAAATAAAGAGTAACTTCAAAACAAATAATGTAACAAAAACTGAACTACATTATAATATATATGCATGAATAACAACACCATAACAACATGGTAACAACACAATAACAACACGATAACTACATGATAACAACACCATAACAACACCATAACAACACAATAACAACACAATAAAAACACCATAACACAATAACAATACAATAACAACACCATAACACAATAACAACACCATAACAACACCATAACAACACAATAACAACACAATAACACAATAACAATACAATAACAACACCATAACACAATAACAATACAATAACAACACCATAACACAATAACAATACAATAACAACACCATAACACAATAACAACACAATAACAACACCATAACACAATAACAATACAATAACAACACCTGAACAACACCATAACAACACAATAACACCATAACATGATAACAACACCAAAACAACACAATAACAACATCATAACACAATAACAATACAATAACAACACCTGAACAACACCATAACAACACCATAACAACACAATAACACCATAACACCATAACATGATAACAACACCAAAACAACACAATAACAACATCATAACACAATAACAATACAATAACAACACCATAACACAATAACAACACAATAACAACACCATAACACAATAACAACACAATAACAACACCATAACACAATAACAACACAATAACAACACCATAACAACACCATAACACAATAACAATACAATAACAACACCATAACACAATAACAATACAATAACAACACCTGAACAACACCATAACAACACAATAACACCATAACACCATAACATGATAACAACACAAAAACAACACCATTCAACACAATAAAAACACCATTACACTAACAACACAATCACACCATAACAACACCATAACACGATAAAAACACCATAACAACACCATAACATCATAACAACACAATAACAACACCATAACAACACAACAACAACACCATAACAACACAATAACACCATAACAACACTAACATATTAACAACACAATAACAACACAATAACAACACAACAACAACACGATAACAACACAATAACAACACAATAACACCACAACAACACTAACATAATAACAACACAATAACAACACAACAACAACACGATAACAACACAATAACAACACAATAACACCACAACAACACTAACATAATAACAACACA